ATCCAAGGAAAATATAAGTTGCGACCAATTCACATTTAGAAAGAAACGTAACTGGACCCCACCAAAAGGTTCAATTCCGAATCTGGAAGCCTTTATCAACTCGATTGAAAACGATACTTCCAGACATATCAACCATACTAACAAATATTCTAATTTGACAAAAGAAGAAACAGATGCCCTGCACTCACTGAAAAGCAGAACAGACATTATAATTAGGCCTGCAGATAAGGGTTCCGCTGTTGTCGTTATGAATAGGGAAGACTACATTAGTGAAGCAAGCAGACAACTAAGTGACGCTAGGTTCTACCAAAAACTGGACCATGATCCAACGCTGGACTATGCAAAAATCATCACTAATGTTATTGACGAGGCGTACCAAAGCGGAAACATAGACCAGCAAATGAAAAACTTCTTAAGCCCAGAAAACCCAAGAGCATGTAGATTTTATCTTCTACCCAAAATCCACAAACAAGGAAACCCTGGCAGACCTATAATCTCAGGTAACGGGCACCCCACAGAAAGGATATCAGAATATTTAGACCATTTTATGAGACCACATGTTCACAAATCACCATCATATCTTCAATACACGACAGATTATCACATAAAAAGCAAAGCTAGTGAACCATTACTGCCAGATACATTACTTGTTTCCTTAGACGTCACATCTTTGTACACCAACATACCGCACAGCGAAGGGTTACAGGCATGTAGCGAAGCATGGGAAACAAGAACTGTAAACAATCCACCCACACACTTCTTAGTCCAACTCCTGGAGCTTGTCCTAAAACTCAACAACTTTGAATTTAATGACGAAAACTACCTACAAATCAATGGAACTGCAATGGGTACTAAAATGGCCCCGTCGCATGCTAACATTTTCATGGGAAAATTTGAGGGTCAGCTCTTAGCATTGGTTGAGCGTATACCATACCAGTGGGTACGCTTTATCGATGATATAGAAATGAAGTGGCAGTATGAAAGAGAAAGTCTGGATGACTTCATATCAAAGGCAAAAAACTTCCATTTTTCAATAAAATTTACGGCAGAAATTTCCAACTCAAACCATGTTTTCCTGGACACAAAAAACAGACTGGCGGAAAACAAATTACACACAGACATCTACTCGAAACCAACCGACAAACACCAGTATCTCCTCCCAACCAGCTGTCATCCAAAACACTGCATTAGGAACATTCCATATAGCCAGGCACAGAGGATACGCAGAATTTTCTCCGACGATGAAAGATTCCGAGAAAGGTCTGAAGAGCTGGCTAAACATTTAATTTACCGAGGCTACGACAAAGACCTGATTCCGTAGGCAATCCAAAGGTCCAAACAAACAAACCGTGATGACCTACTCAGATATGGACAGAAAGAAAAGGTTGATAGGATACCATTTTTCTGACCTATTACCCAGACAATCCCAAAGTAGGTAAAATCATCGCAAACCACTGGCCAACCGTGCAATCGTCAGACATACTAAACCTAATACTTCTGAACAAACCTGTAGTAGCTTACCGGAGACCAAAAATCCTAAAGGACATCCTAGTCATTGCAAAGCTAACGACAATTGCTAGTCAAAACCAACCTAGTCAATCTGGACCCTGTGGCGATAAACGATGCAAAACCTGTCAACATATGATAGAGACCAAGTCATTCACTAGCACTGTGACTAAAGAAAAACTAACCATACATGGTCCAAACAAAACGTGCAAAACAGAGAATGTGATTTATCTCATCACATGTAAGATCTGTGTCTTTCAGTACGTCGGAGAAACTGAAAAGCTACACAAAAGGATAAACCTTCATAGATCTGATTGGATGACAAAAAAGCTATACAGAAGTCCGGTCGCAGAACACTTCTCCTCCCCTGGCCACACTTTCAGTGATATAATACTTATCGCTATTACTAACGAGCACAGCTGGAGTTCCGAAACCAGGAAGAAAAGGAATCATACTGGATACGCCACCTTAGAACATTGAAACCAAGCGGTCTAAACCAAGAAGACTAGAAAATGAAAACAACGCTCTAGTAGAATTTAACATTTTCTAAATCTTCTTATTATCCTTCAAATTTTACTATAAGAATAACCGGTATAGAATCAAATATCCGGGATATAAATTGCGTTACATAAATGTACAAAAAGTAAAAATAGATGTCGCTTTGGCTTGTAGACTTTTAGGGAATTATACACCGTTTTCAGTTTCCGCAACTAGTCTATACAAGCTGGTTGTATTTATAGTTTTAACCCATGTGGAGACAGCCATGCAGAGGTTTACAAACACAACCTTTTTTGTGTTTATTTGTTTGTCGTATATATGTTTTGTATTTGCCTTTGAAAAAGACTCATTAAGAGTCGAAAGCGCTTAAGCTAGTTAGTTACTAGTTTTGTACTGTTCGTCGTCAGTTTTTTGCATATATATATATATATATATATATATATATATATATATATATATATATATATATATACTATCAATAAAGGTCACTCACGAACAAAATCATTACTGACTTGCACGATGATGATGGCTCTACAAATATCACGTACCGATTACCAGTGTTTATTATTATTATTATTACTAGTAGTAGTTGTAGTAGTAGTAGTATTAGTAGTAGTAGTAGTAGTAGTAGTAGTAGTACATTATGAAGATGTATTTTGAAATTAGTTTAGATATTATAAAAATAAAATCATCACCTACTTAAAAATATACATCTACGAATATACGAATGCTAATACAAATTGTTTATATATTTGCTACTGATAGAGTGTAAACTGACAAGTAATGTTATTTAAATTGTATGATAACCTTCAGTTTATGTCATTGTTATTAGGGTATCAGTTGGGCACGCCGGACAAGAAGTGACGATTCGACTTCCCTGACATGACTCGTTTCCTAAGAGTAAAAAGGGACAAAATTCCCACTTCGGCAGGTAGTTCTCAACAGTTATTAGGACCATAATTTTAAAAAAATACTGTTTTGAGGTAGTTACAATTGCAAAACCACATTAAGAAGCTAAACATTATACACAAAAGATAAGTCTATGAATTTGTATATGTTTAGGATCGATATAGAGACCGAATAAATTTAATTCAATCAACTTCAATCCACTGCTTTTGATTCCGGTTTAAAGCAAAAATAACACTGTGCCGTACTAAATATAAAAATTGTCTCCCGCCTCACTATAATTTTACGCAACGCTTTTAAAATATTTGTAGCGTATCCCATCCATTTCCTGCTGATTGATTTTGTTAGGATTATGACGACCTGCATATTATAGTCCCTCCGTATATTACACATAAATATACACATAACTACACAAATAATCACATATAATTATATAATCATAGATTAGTTGTATTTTATTTATAATTAGCATTTTATCATAATTAGACTCGAAAAATAATTTAAAGCTCATGAACTGAAGCATTTTTTAAAATTTATTATTACAACTATATCAGCACATACCTACCCCCACCCCTATTTGTTACAATATCACACATTACTTAATAATACAAGATTGATATATGCATAAAACTGTAGACATGTTATTTATTAGAAGGATACTGTACAAGAAACTAAATAAAGGTGAAGATTTATGCACCATGGAGAAATAGAGGACAATAACAACTTGCAGAAAATATGTTATGAGCATGTCCAGAACTGAACTCGTTTTGTGTCATTTGTTTTTAATAAAATTTGCCGCATAAATTTAAGCATGTTGACCAATGATAAAGCAGATATTTAATAGTTTGCAAAATAACTTTCACGGTAATGTTACAACAAGATGAAAACAAATTCATTTAAATTTAACTAAATTATTAAATTTATTATAATTTTTGTACTTAAAAATAGTAACTTTCCCTATTATCCTTTTCTATGAATTTTCTCCTGACATTCATTCCTAAATCCTCCTCCAGAAAATAGTTTCAACTGGGATGAAACTGGTTTATTTTGATTGGAAGTGCCCGATAAATCCTTACATGAAATAGTGAAATCGGCAAAAGGTTTGGAAAGTGCAAAGGAAGTACGTATGAATATGTCGGCATGTTGTGCTTTTTGGAAGAAATTTAAGAAATCAGTTACAAGTAAACGAAAAGTTCCTCACTGCTTTAAAGAAGTAAATCAAATGTGTTTGCCTCTTATCTGGGATTCAAACAGAATATGTTAAGATGGATTCTAATTATTCAATGACTAGATTTTAAGTGCAGATCGCAAACTAAAACCTGACAATCATAAATCACTTTGTTCATGGACAATTTAACGTATTCTGGATAAATTAAGTTCTTCCCTCCAAACATGAGTTGCATCAAAAGCCGGTAGAACAAGGTGTATGACGTGTATATCTTTTGTTATATTTCTTATATGATACAAGTACTGCATGTTCAAAATACGTCATACTACGGTATATCTACGTCATACTACGGTATATCTGTTTATATGATACAATTTTGAGCACATTATATTTTGGGATTTTTTTGTAATTATAGTGGCATTACAATGTTCTTTATGTACAGGAAAATAAATGTTTCTTCACTTGAAATGGCTGTCAAAAGCTGAAAGCAGAATATATTATTAAGACCCAGCTTATAATTGGTAATGTTGGTTTAATCACTTCTTCCGTCCATCCTTAATTTTCCATTGTAACGAACATCTGTTTTAATCAGAGTTGACTGTAAAGAGAAAAACTATATTATTAACAATACTTGAATAAATATAGTTTATGAACCTTTCAAGCCAGTCCTGCTTTTAGACAGGGGACAAGTAACTTTTTCAGAGACAAAACAGATTATGACACAAAAAATGCACACACAATATGATTGAAACGATAAAATACGATACGCCAGGGCAGCAATATACTAAGGAAGAATGTCAAAAGCAACATAAACTAAATGAGAAAAAAAACTCTTTAAGGTGGTAAATAAATGATAAGTACATGGATAGGTTGGTTGGTAGGTTGACAGAAAGATGTATTAAATTTAATTTCCAATTATTAGGACTCTGGTGGCCTAATGGTTAGAGCGTCCGTCTCGGATATGAGAGGTGCTGGGTTCAAAGCCCGGCCGAGTCATACCAAAGATGTTTAAAATGGTACTAACAGCTGCCTCGCTTGGCGCTCAGCATTAAGAGGTTAGTGTTAGGACTGGACAGCCTAGTGTCAAGATAATGTGATTGGGTGGGACATCTATGCGGCATGATGCCCCAGTGCTAGACATCACTATAAAATGTCACACTGCAGACATCATGGCGATATGAATGAAAAATTATTAAAGCTACATTAAAATTCTAAATCACACACACACACACACACACACACACACACACACACACACACACACACACACACTTACTACTATGCACATAAATATAATGGATGAACAGACATAGCCGTTTTAAGAAGTTTGGGTCTCCAAGGCACAAGTTCTAACCTTAAAAATCACCAGAATTCAGCCTCAATCTCTCAGTCTCAGATATAGACTATTGCATTGACTTTTCATATTAATGAGTGTCATTTTGTTAAATTTATTAATATAGTACTATACTGATAACACATCCGACACATAATTTTGGGGGAGGGGGCCACCGCGCGTCCTCCTGCTACTTGAGCTATATGCACGTTCCGCACGTGCATATGCTTTAAAACGGCACAGCGAACAGAGTGTATGCATCCATGGATTAGGCCATCATTTAATATACGATTATTTCGTAATAATGAAGACAAAAAGGTAATTTTGGATTTTTATAGCTGACGATTATAGATGGCAAAATACACTTGTTTGATCTAAAGCGTAAGAACAAAACGTTTTCCCTGATTGTAGTTTGAAAAGTATATTTGTATTGTAGATAAATTCACCTGAGAATACAGTATGCTATCGGAACATATTTGAAATGTCTAGTCATCATTATCATTAACAAATTACTAGGACTCAACCCAATTACCCAATACAGCAGATTCGGCAAAAGTCTGATTTCATTTTAATTAACACACACACACACACACAATCCCGAAGTGCCAAACTTCATATATAGCCATAATGGCTTAATCATTTTTGAAACTGCTTTCTAAAATTATGTATGATATTCAACATTGTATTTCTGTATTTAGACAAAATGCATATTTCTTTTTATTCTTCCTATGACACCTCTCTCTCTCTCTCTCTCTCTCTCTCTCTCTCTCTCTCTCTCTCTCTCTCTCTCTCTCTCTCTCTCTCTCTCTCGGAATATATGTTAAAATATGTCAAGACTTTAGACAATATATTGAAAATTTATATAATCGATGAGGATGTGCAGTAAAAAATTATTTATAAACATGAGCTACAAACAATAATAATTAAATTCAAGTACATGTATTTTTTTCAAATGCTTTTCCATATGAATATATGATGTTATTGACTGATAAAATGTAAGTGAATGAACGTTATCGAACTGTTTCTATTCTATATTCGCTATATTTAGTCAAACATATCTGTGATACATCAACCCTAAGGCTGTAAACTTTAAATTATTTTAGACTGACAAAAATGATTATTCTTACATGGAATTTAGTGCATATAAATTCAAGCAAATTAGAATTGCTTGACGTTATTAAGTATATATTTCTGACTTTTTCCATAAAAGTGTCTTGCTTTTTTGAGTAAACTCACTTGTAGAAGAGTTTATTTATATTGTCTTTTTGCTTCTGAAATATTTTCGTTGTCCGCAATCGATGTCAGTATTGATTTAAATATATTAATGTTCAATAAGCGTTAATAAGGCGGGACATTAATCTCGCACATTGATGACTACTGTTTGATGAGGATCTCGATCTCGATCTCATTTTATGAGTGCGAGAGTACCAGCTGCATTTGTGATTGTTGATGAGATTCTGTTATGTACAGCAGTCAATCGAAAGTTCAACATGTTACTAGATAGTGTCCTAAAACTACTTGAAAAATACTCAATAGATTTTAAATGATTTCAATTTGTATATCTTAGTAATTAAAGAATTTTATGGAAACTTATTATGCCTGCCAGAAATTATAACAATGAATAGTCACTAAAACAATAAAATAACCATAAAAATAACTAAATTGAAAATGGAACAAATATAAGATACAACACAAATCGTGTATTATTAAGAATATGCATATCTGCGGTATCTTAACGTTTAAAATTGACATAACTTGGATAAAAATGTCTTATATATTCCATGGAAATTGTGATTCCCTAACATAAATAATGTATATAATATGCCTTATATTTCTGATGATCTATATTACATTTTATTGAATAACAAAAGTTATTTCAATAAATTTCAGCTGCCACTTCATCTTCATAATCAGAACTACACATAAAACAATAAGCAATACCTCAGTATGACGTACTGAGATAATTTGATTAAAATTTTCAATTAACGTTGTTTTTCTTATTTATCTTTCAGTGAGGCGTTCTGTATTATCACGTTTTTATTTCAATTAAATCACGTTAAGAAGGAAATGATTTAGAAACACGAGATAGCGACGATAATGGTTTTAATGTTAGAAACTTCCCATTACATGCTGAGAAAACAGTGATCTTGTATCAATATCCTACGAAAACAATTTTAAACATGTTACATCATTGGCTACACCCATATCAGTCGCATGCAACGTTGTTCCTGATTGGTCAAAAGAGAGCGAATGCTGGCTCCTACATCTCAAATGTCTCCTCTCGTCATGTTGCAGGGCCATTGCCATTAGCGTTAGTGATACTTTTCTACAAAAGCGAATGTCAAAATTCTCAAAGGAAAGCACCTACCGCATCGAGAAAGATTACTTCATCATAATGAATTAAGTGATATCACCACGTAAAGAACGATTTTAGCACCCCATTGTGCATATATACAAAACCTTTGGTACTGGCACCGTGTGGGTAACATAAATTTATTCCAGACGTGCAATGATTTTGGAAAGGTGAGATCGTGAGAAACTGGTATCATCCTTCCAGAAATAATGTATCATAGGTCAAGACGACCTTTCGTCCATGCTTAGGGACAAAATTTTGTATGAGAGGAAAAGAAAACGTATCAGAAAGTTATATGAAGTCTTATTAGTTTCTCCTCAAAATATTTCATATTGTGGCGGAACGCAAGAGGAACATATTCAGGACACAACGAAATAAGAATGTGATACACAGATGAATTGGACTACATTAAAAGAACAATTAAAGATACATTTGTATTATTAATGATCACATATTAATTTGTTAAAACCTAGTGGCACAGTGTGTATTCTCTGCAACCTGAAAATAAGGAGTGCTACAAAGTATCAAAACTACACTTAATCACCGTTTTCTTTGAGAAAAAAAGGGCAAATTGTGGTCTTAAATTTTAGCACAATGTTTCCAATGGGACAATTCCTTCCGAATAACAATCCTCGCGGCTCATCGTTCCTTATTAGGGATATTCTAGCAGCAGATAATCCGATGGCATGCACTACTAAGTTTACAGGACTTGAATCAGAACAAAATACGCCAGTCCGCCATCTCTTCCCCACACACGGGCTTACCAACCCCAGAGGTATGGGATTTTACAACAATCCCTTCTATTGCCGTACAGGTAAATAGTATTGCATGAGAGAATATATATATATATATATATATATATATATATATATATATATATATATATATTTATATATATACATATATAGATTTATATACATATAAATACATGTATACCTATATACATATATACATATGTATGTGTGTATATATAGACATATATATGTATATATATATATATATATATGTATGTATGTGTGTATATATATATATATATATATATATATATATATATATATATATATATATATATATATATATATATATATATATATATATATATATATATATATGTAAAGAATATATACATATATACATACATAAATATAAGAATATTTATATATTCTTATATATATATATATATATATATATATATATATATATATATATATATGTGTGTGTGTGTGTGTGTGTGTGTGTGTGTGTGTCTGTGTGTGTATAATACATATATAAGAATATTTATATATTCTTATATATATATATATATATATATATATATATATATATATATATGTTTTATGTGTATTTTCATAATCCAATGTACGTTGTATAAGTGTCTAGTACTGTCTTTCATCAACTGATTTAAAGGAATTATCAAAAAAAGAAACTGGCTACAAAAAGTAAGAATGACACAAACAATTAAAGCAGCCTCTAGCCTGTAGCAGGGCCTTAAGCAAATGTGTTTCTCCTTCAACGTTCTTCCATTTAATTGTTGGATTACAATTTAGTTACATAAGATTATTAGTATCTTTTATTAATCATGACTAAATTTAGTAGTCTACTCTTTTTATAACGTCTTTCATTATTACATTATTTTCGGGTCACAAGAAAAAGGTAATGTGAATAAACATGTTCATTGGTAAAAATGATCATCACATCAAATGAAGTTTCGAACTCCAACATCAATTTCCTTGTTATAAACATGAATGTGAGCTTCATATATTATTTTCTACAAGTTCGTTTTTTTTGTGAAGATTTTGCTTTCAAGAAAAAACGTAAGAGTTTTGTATAAAGACATTTGCTTTCATATTGAAGTGATACTTAAATGCAGAAAAAATGAGATTTCATAAATAATTACTGTAATTTTAGATTTATATTTCCTGGCTAATTCGAAATATTTATATATTCTGGTTTGATAACAATTGGACCTGGACCTTAAATCCTTAATGGTGGCGCTCACCAGTTAGTATGTACTTTTGAGAGAGTAATGTATGTAATGTGAAGTTGTTTGCATTTAAAACATGTACATTGGAGAGTGATGACATACTTCTGTGTTACTTTCATGTAATGTGGCTGACATTTCTTTGGATATTGTACTTTGAGAAATTTTAAATGACCTTAGCACACTGCTAAGTAAAATGAGTGCTCCCTTGTGCTCCAAAAATCAACCTGAATTTGTCTAAAGTACGCTATCCTTGGCAGCTATTAAAATATGGAAAATGAATTTTACCAGCTTCTGAAAGTGCAATGAATGAATTTATATATATATAT